AAAATTAGTTTTCGATGTTTTTTTGACCTCTGACCTTTGACCCTTGACCTTTGACCTGGACAGACACACAAACGCATTTTCGTTTTTTTCGTATCACCCTCCTTTCAGTCGAGGGAATATTTGAATTAGTAGATGTACTTTTTACAAAATAGAGATATTTTCGCAGAGCATATCACATTCTTTAGTAATGACAGTACTAGTGTACAAGTAAAATCTTGAGGGTGTGGGTATATAAAGGAAACACACCTAATCACACCCACATGCTAACTCACACCCACCCACACTCGCAACGATTTAAATCGCTATGCATCAGAAGATAATGAGAAGATTAAATAGCTATGCAAGTATTTAAATAGCTAATAAAGAAAATAAAGTCATAGTCAAAAAATAGCTGAACAGCTTTTAAATAGCTAAGACGATGCATTAAATAGTGCTGGAGATCAAATAGTTGATGATCAGAAGACTGAAAAGGTTTACAGCTAAGTAGAAGTCTAGTGCATATTTTTCTTTGCTATTTTTCAGAGATTGTTTATATAACAAAAATTGTATCGCTTTTGAGAATGAATCATTCCGTTTCCTATAATATTTTACTTCCAACACAACTTCTGTTAACTAAACGTGTACATGAAGTAACTATCTTAATTATCATAAGTTAGTTTTTCTTTCTTTCTTCCACTATATCATATGAAATATTTTAAAAAAACAATACATTACATTTACAGACAAATGCTAGTTCTTTTTTCTTCACTGCAATCATCAGGATAGTAATCATTTTAATTCCATAAATGGTTGGAAAAAAAAAACTAAAAGAAATAAATATTGCTTTTCTTTTCCATTGACTGTCTCGGTTGCTGTAAATATAATAAACCATAAATGCATCTGCTACTGTAAAGAAAATTAAGTGAACAACAAGTAATACTTTTTGCTGTAGTGATTAAATATTAAACTGGAAAATGGTTTGAACAAAAAGACAGAGAGTAAAAAACAGTGGAAAAAGCTATTCAAACAACTTTAACAAGAGTTTCCACAGAGTGTAAAACGATAAAAGATGTTATGGATTGTTTTTATTTTATCATTAATTTCTATGTGTGATTCAATTATTGTTGGTACAATAAACAATAGTATAATGATTGGTACTATGAATAAATCATTATTAAGTGTTACCAAAAATGAATGTATATGTGAAATGATGAAAATAAATGTATTTTTATTATCTGGATTAAACTATTTTTCGACAAATGGAAGTTGTCAATTATTTTATTCGAATAATAATTCGATTGCTATTGAATATAATGTGAATTCTGATTTTATGTTTATAAATCAATCAGCAATATCAATAACAAATAGTAAGTATTTATTAATAAAACATTGTTTTTGAGTGACACATGTTGATTTTGAAAATGATGTAAAATAAAGTAGATGGATGAGTTTTTGCTTGAAAGTAACAGATGAGAATGATGTTATATGTAGTTTCTTAGTGAAGATACCACGCTTTGGTGCTGAGCAGATTGAATCGCAGTTGAGATCAATCGATTAGAAATGTTACTGTCTTTTTCTTTTGATGAGTCTCTAAGACGATAGATTTATAGTGTTTCTCTATCTTGACAGAATAGCTTATAAGTAAAACTCTACATGTTAAATTTTGTCATTCAGAATTCGAAATAAAAACCATAGGTTTTTTTAGAACTAAGATCTCAAAATAAATTTATCTCACATGACATTTCTGTATCCATTTCTGATGTCGAACTCGAAGGAAAACTTTAAGCGATGTTAGTTTCTCTTTTTAATATCATTTATCTAATACAGAACCGATCGTATCATTAACGACAACATCCACCACCACATCAACCTCATCATCATCCACTATAAGAACCACTTCTTCAACTTCATCATCATCATCATCATCAACAACTTCCTCATCAACTACATCATCATCAACATCGACAACAACCACATCATCATCAACAACTACATCATCAACAACAACAACTAGCTCAACAACAACAACAACTACGACGACAACAACAACAACTACTACTCCACATATATCTGGTCCTACTTGTTCTCAATTTTATTGTTGCGCATATGGTGTTACTTCTTGTGTTTACAATAATGTTGCCTGTCAGTGTCAAGGTCCTGGTGCTAGCGGTGGTGGAGGTACCTTTTTTTGTTCTGGTTGTGCTGGTTCAGGCCCTTCTGCTTATTATGGCGGTGGTGTTTGTTATTTTGGTGGTTATTATTATTCTGGTTGTTAAAGAAAGTAATTCATGATTGATTTGAATATTTATTGAACAAGCTTAACATGCTGTGAAAATATAAACAATGACACTAATACTATATTAACTAAATGATACAGACCAAAGTAACAAATATACTGCTAGTGATCACATTGTTCTCGCTCCTTTTTCTTTTTCGTTGTTCAGCTTTTGATACGGACGATATATGTTCGTGTTCTGTTTTTGCGAGTTTGTTTGTTTTTGTTCTTTTCTTCAGAATCAGTATTTTCTTTTCTCAAATATATACAATTGAGAGTGTAGGTGTGAGAGTGGACAAAAAGAATAAGCATTCACACCCACACCCTTATAGATTAAAATGGATACTGATTTGAAATTGTCTATGAAAGCATCGGATTTCATTTAGCATAGAATAAAAAACAAAAAAAGAATGATATTATAACGTATCAGATTAATCAAATCATTGTTTAAAATAATGTAACCCATATGGTCAGTAAGATATCATTGTTCAAAGTAGTTTGAATAATTATTACGATTATATCAAGATTTCATTTTCATAAGCACCAGTATAATATTGACTGTAGTATATCTAAAACTATTGATTTGTATTTAAAGAAAGTAGGACTTTTACGATCATCATTAACTAAATGATTATTTATATTATGTAATTTAAACTCATAAATAATTCTTTTATCGTTAGTTAACTTTACTTATATGCTTGGTATATTTTGAATATTCAAGACGAAAAAAGGTCGTTAGATTAATATAAAGCATATCCTTCCGATCTTTAAAAGTCAAAAATAACTGACATGGATATTAAAACAGATTATTTTTAAGATAGGTGTGGATGTCAAAGTATGGTTAATGTACTACTCACACCCACACTCTTCTTGATTATCATATTTAACAAAATCTGTCAATTAATCAACAACCATTTATGGTCGATTACCCCTATCTAAAGTCATTTTAAGGTGATTAGAGATCCTTTGACCAATTTCGAATATTCTAAGAAGAATGCTTATCGCTCCTGAACAGAGCAACTTAATGCCTTGGATTTTAGCGGATCGAACGACAATGTTTCTAGAATACGATTTCCATCATTTTGTTTCAAGTCAAATGTTTTTGTATTCTAGTTGATGGTAATAGTTCAGATCAATATTTGTAAATCTTGTTCTTAGATGATAAAAATTTCAGTTCCTTTCGTCGATAACTAGCGGAAATATTTAGATTTCTTAATGCACTATTATTTATGACACATCCTGTATAATCAATTGTAGGAAGAATATCTGCATATATTTAGCGTATTGATCAGCTGTTTTTGTTGTTTACAATTTAATATCTCCCTCTTTGTATTCATTTAGTGATTGTAAATTGATATGATACACTGTTTATCTTCTTCTCATATTACTAATAACATACGACTAATAGGATGTAAGTGGTTAAATTATTCATCAGCTAAAATTACATCCATCCTCAGGATGAGCTTTTGTATCTTCTCTTAAGCTTCGCACCACCTACCTTCACTCACACCCACCCATGTGAGAGTGACTTCCTTCTTTGCCTTCATTCTCATGACATCACTCACATCTTTTTTTTAATTGCGCGAAAATCTGTGTTCCTAAGATCCTAAAAGTACATATGAGTAAAAAAAAGAATGACACCACTCACATCCTCAATATACTTTCCCTCTTAGAATCAATAGTAGTTTATTTATTTCCAAACAGAATCTCCCTGGTTGCTCATAATTCATGGCCTTCTACTGAACAGATCAGAGAAAAATAATGCAGCTTATAAAACTTTTCTATACTGTTTCACACGTCCAAAACTAATGTTTTGAACTTTGAGTAATTATAATACATATAGTCGTATGCATTCAGAATAGTTCCGTAACTAAAAATGTAATTATTAAATAATGAACTACTGTTCAAAGTATGCATACTAATTCATTTGTCATTAATATCCATAGTCGCCAAGTTTTATTGAAATTATCAATATTGAGAGAACCCTAAATAGCAGTTCGCATTCTACAATGTTTTATCAGCGTAATGTTTTCAGTATAGTAGTAAAATGCTTATAAGTAAATAAAAGTTAATCATCGATAAGCCTTAACAATGCAAGAAAACACCGACGTTGTTCGAATTAGAGTTTGCAAAGATAACATCAGGATTATTATCGCTATTCACATCGATGACTGCTACTGATACTGGACCAGAGGTAACCGAGTAACTAGTTTGGGCATTAAAGGTACCATTACCTGTGTTGAAAAGAACACCGATATTGTTCGAACCATAGTTGGCAACAATAATATCAGGTTTATTGTCGTTATTCACATCGCCGACTGCTACTGATATTGGGTAAGCGCCAACTACGTAAGTAGTTTGAGCATTAAAGATGCCATTGCCTGCATTGAGGAGAACACCGATGTTGTTCGAACCAAAATTTGCAACAGTAATATCAGGTTTATTGTCGTCATTTACATCGACGACTGCTATCGATGCTGGGTTCGTGCCGACTGAGTAAGTAGTTTGAGCATTAAAGGTGCCGTTGCCTGCGTTGAGAAGAACACCGACATTGTTCGAACCATAGTTAGCAACTACAATATCAGGCTTGCTGTCGTTATTCACATCACTGACTGCTACTGATATTGGCTTAGAGCTAACAGAGTAAGTAGTTTGAGCATTAAAGGTGCCACTTCCTGCGTTGAGAAGAACGCCGACATTGTTCGAATCATGGTTTGAGACAATAATATCAGGTTTATTGTCGCTATTGACGTCGACAACTGCTAATGACCATGGATCTCCGCCAACTGGGTAAGTAGTTTGAGCATTAAAAATGCCATTGCCTGCGTTGAGAAGAATACCGATATTGTTCGAACCAGAGTTTGCAACAATAATATCAGGTTTATTGTCGTTATTAACATCAACGACCACTATTGATGCTGTTTCAGTGCCGACTGAATAAGTAGTTTGAGTATTAAATGTACCATTGCCTGTGTTGAAAAGAACACCGATATTGTTCGAACCATAGTTGGCAACAACAATATCAGGTTTATTATCGCTATCCACATCAACAACTGCTAATGACCATGGCATTACGCCACCCGAATAAGTGGTTTGATTAAGAAACAAGTTGCAGGCTAGCAAAAACAGAAATTATGTTTAGTATTTTAAATAACTCAGAGACAAAAAGTCATCTTTGAATTCTTTAGGAATTACATAACGTTGACTCAATTAGCACTAAGGTGATGTACAGAATCGTGTAGTCTTTTTTTAAATGATTTTCGATATTCTCAAATCGAACTGAAATAATCTTTTGCTTCATTCTATGCGCTGACTAATACAATCTCCTGATCGACATAAAAAGATGGCTATATATACTTGAGAGTGTAGGTGAGTGTGTTCGATGGATACGATACTCATACCCACATCCATATTCGCACAGCACCCTCTTCAGTTTTGTACACAGATACTAGCTTGCCTGTGTAAAAAAATCAGTTTTTAATCTTCAGAAGTTTTCTGCTCCACAAACTAGTCTTATTTATTTGAATTTGAGATGATTTGAAGCATCCAACACGAAATTTGTCAGTCTCGTAAAACTACTTCTCTTTTCAACAACTGACGTAAGCACTAGGTATTTAGTTCAACACTCACCATTTGTTGTTGTTGTTGATGATGATGTTGATGATGTATTCGGGTCTGTTTCAAAAACATGAAATTAACGTGGTGCAATAAGAATATTGAATATGGTTTTGTTAAGAATATAGTACTTTTTGATCCACTAATCGCGGTAATTTTTTGTGAATGACTGATTCTGAGGACAGATACTAATGACTAGTGAACGTCACAAATTATAGTCAGTGGAAAATATCATTTATATACTAGCAAGTTTATTAGAGTTTAAAAAAGACACAAACATCAAATTCATTTAAATTATTAGAATTAGAATCTATAAGTAGTCAGAATATTTTTGTAGTACCGCGGAATGAAAACTTACAAAGGATATCTGAAATAAACTTACGATGTTCTTGAGCATTTAATATAGATATCGATGATTGATTAATGAATATAAAAGTAGAATTTAAATAAAATTCAATATAAATTGTACTAATATTTGAACGAAATAATTGACAAGTTTGATTTATTGAAAAGTAATTTAAAGCAGATATTGAATCATTTACTTTTGTCATTTCACATATACATTGATCTTCTGTTATATTGAATAAATTCTTATATACATTACCAACTACTATATAACCCTGTACTTTAGCAATACGAATAGAATTACTAACAGAAAATAACGATAAAATAAATATCAACCAAAACATGCTCCACTTCTTTACTTTTCAAAATATTTTGTATATGTTTAAATAACTTTTCTTTTTCCTTAAAACAAAAGATGCATTTATGGTGACATTATGTTTCTTTAGTCTTTATTTAACTATATAGAAGATTGAATTCATCATGATTCAGGAAATAAAGAAATGATAACTTATCTGTAACAAACAAAAAAAATAATAGCATTTCTGATGACGTAAACGGATATTATTTTTAATGTGTTTCTTTTTCACTGGCTAAATGCACATTTCCATGAAAGTCATCCAATGAAGTTGATTAAAAATCAAAACTACGGAATGAGTTTCATGTTCATTATTATTTTAATGCAATTTTCTTCATGTTTATTGTCAGAGTGGGTGTCAGAATGAAGGATGAAGATAAGCAAATTCACACTCACATCCTTCTCTTCATCGGAATACTGACCACTGATGTTGATATTGACGCTAATTCTTTTCGATAATCTTTAAGTAAATGATCAGAAGTCTCACAGATTCTTTAAGGCGATAGTTTAGATATAATTATAAACACCTTTGATCTATACCTAAAAAGGTAAGCATATAGAACAATCACCGAAAAATCCAATTATTATAATAAATACTATCAATAATATGCACTCAAACAACATTCGACGAGAAGCACTACAATCAGAATAGCTGTTTTCATATTTAGTTAAATCAATATTCATCTAAAATAAAATCCATTCTTCTGTTTATCAGAACATATAACATAACCTGACATCAATTTTTGGGTACATCTGAGTATCTTTGTGTATATTTATATATGTAGATTATTTGATAAACTCAAAAAATACTAAGCTTAATGTCTCCTGAATATTGTTTCCAATAAGAACGTACCATATGAATAGAGTAAAAACTATGACAACAACGTCAAGAATGGCAAAATTAAAGGAAAAAAAACCTACATACATATGTTACTTATTACATTGGTGAGAAAGAGAGGAAAAAAGCAAACAATCATGAGAGTGGATGTGGGTGTGGGAATAAAAGAATTAGAGACCTACTCACATCCACCCTTAAATCCGTCAAGTCACATTGTGAAATCTTCTTTTAGAAAAGCGATTCTTTTATTCATATCATAGAAATAAACTGATCAACCATAACTGAGATAAGTTATATGAAAACGGTAGTTTTCCTTCCAGAATAGTAATATATGGACTATTTTCGTCGACTAGATCTAATCGAAAAATAAAAAAACTGTCAGTGATTTATGTTTATTGTCATTATCGCGATTAATTGTTTCGAAACGTCAATCCTATTTACTTTTATTTGAAAGTATTCTGACATTTCCGATTCTACATGAAACAATCATGTATGTCTCTATAATAAAACTCTTCAATTCAAAACAAGCTTTACTTTATAATTACAATATTTTTTTTTTGTAAACAAAAAATCTTGTAGATATTTTCTAAACCAATACTAGAGATGGGCAATTCAGACGTTCTCACAAGTCTAGTCAAGTCAAGTCAAGTTTCACTCGAATTGACTTGCGTTGCACATCTCTGTTTTATATGAATTTTCGTTGAACTATGTTTGGAAGGGTGTGAGAGTGACTTCCTTCTCTATCATCATTCTCATGACACCACTCACATCTTCCTTATGAATATATTCTAGTGAAGAATCAGTAGTAGTTTATTTATTTTCAAACAAAGAATTTTATTCATTACTCAAATTGAATGATCTTGTTTTGAATTGATCAGGAAAAAAATAATTAAATTTACAAAATTTTTCTATATTTTTTTATACGTCCAAAACTAAAGTTTTGAACTTTGAGTAATTGTAATACATATAGTTCTATGCATCCAGAAAAGTTCCATAACTAGAAATATTATTATTAAATAATGAATTACTGTCCGATATATGGATATACTGGTATATTTGCCAATATTATCCATAATCGCAATGTTTTGTTGAAATTTTTAATATCAAGCGAATGTTAATGGTAGTTCGTATTATATATTGTTTATAAGCGTAATGTTTTTAGTAAAGTAGTAAAATGCTAATGAGTCAATAAAGGTTAACCATTGATAAGCCTTAACATTGCAAGAGAACACCGACGTTGTTCGAACCATAGTTGGCAACAATAATATCAGGTT